AGATACATGACTTGAAAACATTTTCTCCATTCTGTGGGTTGTCTTCTCATTTTCTTGACAGTGACTTTTAGAACGCAAAAGTTTTTAATCTTGGTGAAGTCAGTTTTATACATTTTTTTCTTTAGTGGCCTGTGATTTTTGTGTCATATCTAAGAAATCATTGCCTAATTCAAGGTCATGTTTTCTTCTAAGAGTTTTAAAGGATTTTAAAAAATATGTTTTTATTGAGAGCAAGAGAGAGAAAGAGAGAGGGAGAGAGAGAGATAGAAACTTCAATAAGTGAAACATTGATTGGCTGCCTCCTGCACACCCCCCTCCGGGGATCCAGCCTGAAACCGGGGCATGTGCCCTGACCAGGAATGGAACTGATGAGTTCTCGGTGCATGGGTCGACACTCAGCCAATGAACCACACTGGCAGGGCTCTTCTAAGAGTTTTATAGCTGTAGCTCTTACATTGGGCCTTTGATCCATTTTGAGTTAATTTTTGTACATGGTGTGAGCTAGTGAGCCTAACTTCATTCTTTTGCCTGTGGATATCCAGTTGTCCCAGCATCATTTGTTGAAGAGACTGTTTTCCCCCCATTGACTTGTCTTGGCTCCCTTGTCAAAAATTAGTTGACCATAAGTATATGGGTTTATTTCTGGTCTCTCTGTTCCATTGACCTATGTGTCTATCCTTATGTAAGTATCACACAGTCTTGATTCTTATAGACTTGTAGTAAGTTGTGAATTCAGGAGAGTGTGAGTCCTCCAACTTTGTTCTATTTCCCCTCCCCCAACATTTTTTGACTATTCTGGGTTCTTTGTATTTCCATATAAATTTTAGGATCAGTCTGTCAATTTCTGCAGGAAAGCCAGTGGGGATTTTGATAGGGATTGCATTGACTTTGCAGATCAATTTGAGGAGTATGGCCATCCTATCATTTTTTTCTTTTGGTATTTATTGAGTACAAATTGAGCTCATGCCAAATATATTATTTTGAATCCTGATTTATTCTGCTTAATATTCTATCGTAGGCATTCCCTGTTATGAAAGATGCAAGTATAATTTCACTGCTATACAATATTCCATTGTTTGGCTGAACCACACAGGATTATAAACTCTTGGTTGTTAGGCAAGCTATCAAGGAAGGTATTTTGTTCTGGGTCCCTTGTGGTGCAGGCCTCTTCCTGCAGGCACACATGGACACTGGGAGGACTGGTGGTTCACTGAACAGCAGCGGAATATTAGTGTAAAGTTGATCAACATGTACCCCACGCTACAGGTGGGGAATGGAGTTCCTTGGAGAAGCCAGTATTCTGGTTCATGGAGAGTTGACCTGCTGGTCTGCCTGGCAGCACCACCAGATGGAATGGAATCAGAAAATAGGGCCCAATAGGTTTGCAGACACTGATAGGGTATGTTTGTTTTAGGCATGTTTCTCTAGAACAGTGGATTTTAAACATTAAAAAATTTGCAGCACGAAATTCACTTAACATTGTAACTCTGTTCACCTGAAATGAAAGTTTCACTAAGTCATACTTACTTTTCATATCAGCCAGGAGAAGCTGGTCGACTGCAATAACAAAAACCCTCAAATCTTAGTGGTGCTAGAACTTTCTTTTTTAATCATGCTACAAATCTATTATCTAGCAGGAGTGCCCTGGAATTTAGGTTGCTGGAGGCTTCCCGATCCCGATCATTGCTGCTTTCTGCGGCAGAGGAAAGAGGGTGTGGTAGGCCGAAGAATGGCCCCCCAAAGGTGTCTACATCCTAATCCTTGGAACTTTAGAGTATATTACATTACATGGCCAAGGGAATTACAGTTGCAGATGGAGTTAAGGTTGCTAATCAGTTGATCTTACAATAGGGCACTGAATGTATTCATAAGGGTCTTTAAAAGTAGAAGAGAGAGGCAGAAGAGGTCAGAGTGACGCAATGTGATAAGAACTCAACCTGTTGTTGCTGGATTGGAAGCTGGAGGAAGAGGCCATGAAACCAGGAATGTGGGTGGCCTAGAAGCTGGAAAGGGTGAGGACACAGATTTGCCCCTAGAGCCTCTGGAGAGGAACATAGCCCTGCCAACATCTTTAAAAATTTTTTTTAAAAAGATTTTTTTATTGATTTTTAGAGACAGAGGAAGGGAGAAGGAGAGAGAGAGAGAAACATTGATGTGAGAGCAAACATCAGTTGGCTGCCTCCTACATGCCCCCTACTGGGGACTGAGCCCTAAACCTTTTGGTGTATGGGACTACGCTCCAACCAACTGAGCCACCCAGCCAAGGCTGTGAGGTACATTTTGAACTTCTGAACTACAAAACTGTAAGATAAGTTTATATTGTTTTAAGCCATTAAGTTTGTGGTCATTTTTATAGGCTCCAAGGAAAACAATAGAGCAGACATGCACCCGCCTTTAAATGCTCTGTCTAGAAATGTCATGTGACACTTCTCCTATTTCATTGGCTAGAGCAGGCCACATGGGCATGCCCAACTTCATAGGGCTGGAGAAATTTGCAGGGGCTTAGAGGGGAACGGAGTATTGGTAAATATAGTAATACCTACTATCTGTAATACCCTTGCTATCTGTACCTCATGCTTATATCTTCTATTGCATTAAAACAACATCAACGAAGTGCTGGTGGCAGTTTTTTAAGTTGATTTCATTATCAGCTAATGGGTTGTGGTCCCTGGTTTGCAAAACACTGCTCTATAGACTCTCTTCTGCCCCTGTCTCGTGGGCCACATGACACGTTCTAGTCAGAGCCGACTGGCCCAGGTGTGGGACACCTGACCGAAGCTGACCAATGGAATTCCTCTCCTGGGAATTTGGAATTGGGCTCTTCAGCAGCTAACAGTGGGAAGCTGAGTGAGAGGCAGAGTAGGAAGAGGGTCAGAGTGACAGGCAGACGCAAGCCAAATGATGAAAGAGCAGCAAAGCCCTGAGTAAGCAGAGAGAGCTGGTCCGCAGAGACGATGGAGCAGCCGCACAGAGAGCCGCGCAGCCGGGAGCACTTGCAGCCCCGGAGGGAGAAGTGGGGAGAGAGCAACCATCTGAGATGCTGATGGCTGCCCTGTTCCCGGCCCCGGCCCCGGCCCCAGTGCAGCCTGCCTACGCGTTCTTTCCGTGAGATTTTTGTCTCTTTTCATACCCCTCCTCCTTTTCTTGAGCTACCCTGGGTGGGTTTCGGTTCCTTGTCTCCAGAGAGCCTTCATCAGCTAGAACACCACTGGTATTTCCTGTACGGGACCCGGCTTTGACGCTGAGAACCAGGCCTGTGGGGCATAGATGGGACTCGGGGGTAAACCAGACCCACAATCTGGAAGTTTGGCTTTGACCACAGTCCTGCGCGTTTGTGTTGACTCTTCAAAGTGGACAGGCAGAAGCCATCTGTGTGGTGCTGCACGTGTGGGGGTCCTGGGGACCGGGATGCACCCTCACAAGGGCCTTTTTGCTAACAGCATTGGGGTCAGGAAGCTGGTGGAGTTGCTTCAGGGAGGGCTTGGAAAGGTAGCCACAGTTCGCCTGTCTGACCCTCAGTTTTCTCATCTCTGAAATGGGATTGTTGAAGGATCAGCAGTGTTTTGGGAAAAATACTTGAGACGTGACTAGGGCATAACATGCTCTCAGGTCATGGGCAGGTGCTGTTGTTGCTTGAGGAAGCCATCAGCATCCCAGCTTCCTGAGGAGGTGGCTCTAGGGGCTGATTGAGTCAGTGACGGAACATCCCCCACCACTGGCCATGTTTCCTCACTCTCCTCACCCCGTACTAGTCTTTTCATTTCTTCCTCTTTCCCTCCCCTCTCTTGCCCTCATTTCCCCTCTTTTCTATTCCTGATCTTGATAAAAACACCTGCTTTAGAAAGCAGTGGGTTTGGATATAAAGTACCCAGCTTCTGGAGGCAGACAGGCAGAATTGTGTCTGAATCCTGACATAGCCCTTTGCTTGCTGTGTGTTCTGGGCAAATTACTACATCTCTCTGAACCCTAGTTCATTATCTATAAAATAGGGGTTATAATGCCCATTTACAGTGCTGTTAGATGAAAAAAATTAACTAGGTACTTAACAAATGCTAGTTCCTTCTTAGCTCCCTTCCTCCCTTTTTGATGATCACTCCTTTCAACCTGGTCCCCAGCCCCCTTCTGTGCCCAGAATGCCACTTGTGCCTCTTAGAGATTTCTGGTCTCCTCTGCAGGTCCAGCCCAACCTGGGAGTTGCTGGTTCAAACCATGTGATCTGTATTTTTTCTCACTTTAGCAATTATTACACTCCAGCTGACTGAGGCATCTTCACACTCCAAATACTGATAAATATTTATGAGGAGGAGAAAAGCTCAGAACTCCTAGGGGAGGTGGGGGAGGAATATGCCAGGCCTTTCCTTGCAAGCCAAGCTCAGTCTCATCAGTGGTCCCTTGGGCCCCAGAATACGGGGTAGTGTGTGTGAGAGGAGGAGCAGGAGTGTGGGGCAGGGCACAGGGTGAAGACCCATCGCATAAGGCTGGGCAAGCAGATCTGTGCGGGGGGAGTGTCCCAGGAGAGGGGACTGCTAGAGCAAAGGCCCCAAGGCAGGAGGCACCCTGGCATGCTGGGGGAACAGCAGGGAGGCCATGTGGCTGGAGGAGTGAGGCAGAAAAGTGGGAGGTGATGCTGGGAGGTAAAGGAGGCAGGGCAGACACTCAGACCAGGCTTGTCCTCTGTGTGAACTGGGCGGAGTTTGAGCAAGTGAGCCACATGGTCTGATTTACATCTTGAAAGACTCCCTCCACCTGCTGGTTGAAAAATAGACTGAGGGGGCTGTGGCCAGAGCCCAGGAGAGCTATCATGGCAATAATGGTGGCTTGGGTGGGGGTAGAGGTAGAGATCTGATTATGCTCGGCAGTGTTGCAGCTCTCAAGGCTTAGATGGTGCCTGAAAATCACTCCAGGCCCCTTGTCCTCCGTCCCGCTGAGGGACGGCCTTCAGGAACCCTCCCCTGGGTGGGACATGCTAACCCTGGCCTGCCTTCTCTTTCTCCCCACAGGGTGTTCAAGAAGGCGAGCCCAAATGGAAAGGTGAGTCTACCACAGCTGCATACCAGCTCCTCCCTGACCCTGAGCTCTTGTCCTCTCTTGGGCCTATCTACTGACCATGCAGGACCCTGGACACCCCCATCTGAGGCTGGGAGGAGCCCTAAGCCACAAGGGGCAGGGCCCTCTCAGGAAGCTTCCTGTCTGGGGTTGGAGTGGTACAACTGCCCTGGACTTTAAGGAGCCCCTGCTCTGGTGTGGGGAGACTCCACAGAGACTTTGGTGTGAGTGCGGTAATTAGAGTAAGTGCCAAGTGCCTCAGGGCCCTGCTTGCTCTGGTGTGAGAGGCTCCTGGAGCCTCTCTGCTGAACCATGGTGTCATCTAGTTCTCTGGGCAGCTCCCACAGGCCCCAGGCTCCATCCTGCTTTCCTCTCAAGAGGTTCAGCAAATAGATACTACTGACATCATTCATGTCAGGGCCCAGTGAGCAGGTGGGAGTCGGGGAGGGTATGAAGAGATAAATAAGGCACAGCCAGTGCCACCCACAGCCAGATGGGGCAGGCAGACAAGGAAGGTGAGCATTTCAATTTAAAGTGGCAGATGTGAGAAAAAGGGCTGCCCAGGGGCTGCAGGACCCAGCCCGGTGGTGTTTCCAGACAAGACAGGGTGCAGAAGGCATTCTAGGCATGCACATAAATCATAGGGAGTGTAGGGGATCATGGTGGTTGCATCTGAGTGTCCAGAGGGAGGCCGAGGGAGCAGGAGCTGAGGTGGGGAGGCTGCAGGGCTGGGTCCTGACGGGTCTGGTGGGAGGCTTAGCGGCTTGGACTCCTGGCCTGGGCTGGCAAGTGGCACCTCTTGTGCTCCCACAGTAGACATCGCCAGTCACCTTTCCTGCTGAGCCCGGATTCCATCCTAGATTCCTTCTCAGCCCAGCGCCCCAGGCGCTCCTACCATCGATCAGAGTTGGCATTCGGAATGAAACCCATTTGTCATCTTATTTCTGGGCACCGAGGAGCCATTAAAGGCTTTTCAGACGGGAACAGCATCGTTAGATTAGCATTCTAGGAGGGCCAGTGTGGCTGAGGAGGGGATGTGAGGCTGCAGGCAGCAGACCATGGAGCGGCTGGTGCGCAGTCCAGGCAGGAGTGGCTGTGGGGACAGAGAGGAGGGGCTGGACTGAGACCTGTGATGGGGACTCCTCAGGGTTTAGGGGTTGTGGAGGAGCAGGAAGCATGTAGGATAACCCTCTGGATTGTAGCTTGGGATCTTCCCTGAAGGCTGGCTACTGAGTGGAGCACCAGCTCCGGATTCCTCACTGCTGAACACCGGCCCTCACATGAGTGGGTTTCTGCCAGACTGTTCAGATCTCCATGTTCAGAGCGTCACACTTGTGCCCTTGCTCTTGGTTTCCCTGGCCTCCCAGAGATGCGCCCAGGACTCCCTCTCAGCCGACCTCTTTGCTGCCGTGGCTGCCTCACCCTCAGTGATGCTTGGCGAGACGTCTCCAGGACTCAGTGTCCTCATCTGTAAAATGGGAACAATAGAGGTTTAGGATGAACGGGTGCTTTCAAAATTGCACAAGGGTTTGTTATTACTATTAGGGCTGGAGCTCAGGCCCAAGCCACTTAGGATTTCAATGAGGGTTAGGATGGGTCTAGGAGTTTCAAGGGCAGCTCCCAAGGTTTTCAGCAAGGCAAGGGCCAGTGGCTTTTCAGGAGTGTGTTCTCTGGGCCAACAGCTGCTAATGTAACCCTGTGCCTGTCCTCCCTAGCTCACCGTCTATCTGGGAAAGCGGGACTTTGTGGACCACATCGAGCTCGTGGACCCTGTGGGTGAGTTCCTGGAGGCCAGAAGGCGATGGGGGAAGTGGGGCTGGCCAGGCCTCTTCCAGAGAAGGGTGTGTTGAAGCAACCCGGGAATAGTCCTCAGGCCTCTGGTGTCAAGAATGGGGCGTGAGAGGCTTCCTGCTTCAGTAGGCAAACGTTTACTGAGCAGCTCCTTTCCTCTTGGCTGAGGGCCAAGTGAGAAGGAGTCAGTGAGAAGCAGGGAAGGCGTCCTGATGATCATAAAGGATGGGGGTGATGGTGACAGCAGTCACCCTCGCTGTAAGGCTTATGCCAGACACTGGGGGTAGCTGCTATTATCCCTGCTTTACAGGTGAGAAGATGAGGCCCAGAGAGGTTAAGTGACTTGCTCCAGGTCATAGAGCTAGTAGGTCAAGGAGCCTGGATTCAAATCCCAGCAGCAGAACCTGTGGCATGCTAAGATGCAGTTTCCAACCCACTGGCCTACTAAGGTGGCAGCAGAGGTGGCACAGAGGCTGGGGGTGAGGCACCAGCAGGAGGGACCAGCTGCCCAGCACACCGGGCACCGTGAGAGCTGCTCAGCAAGTGTTCGAAGAGCACCTGCTTCATGCAAGCCTGGTGCTGGGCCTGGGGGTCCCAGAGGACTGCCTTGCAGTGCCCCTCGGTCATCTCTTGATGACTCTTACTTGCCCCGTAAGACCTGGTTACAGCTTCTCTCCCCCAGGGAGCCTTCCCTGATGCCCCTGACTGGAAGGAGTCCCCTCACTGGGATGCCCTCTGAGCTAATGGTCCCCTGAGCCTCTGGTGCCCAGGCACATAGGAACACCCTCAGCAAAAGGAGGGAAGATGCAAGGCAGGCTCTGGCCATGGGTGGGCACTCCCAGACCAGCTGTCCCTTGCACCTGCCCAGCATTGGGATAGGACCTAGGGTTCTCTGGGTACTCACTTCCAGATGTGACCTGAGATTCCCTGAGAGGTCAGTGGTAGGGGGCAGTGTG